GGCGACCCCTGTGAAAGGGTTATTTGATCCCCAAAGGGGTCACGACCCACAGGTTGAGAACCGCTGCTTTATGATGTGTACATAAAGGATTATTGTTGTTAACAACCAATTTTTCAGACTCTGTAGTACCTTGGCTTTAGAGACTATTTCTACGTTACTAGCGAGGTCATCAATCTCCATCTTCATCTCGCTCTTCTCCTTCTCCAGCTTCTGCTTGACCCTCTGCAGGTTGTCTATCTGCTCCCCAAGTTCAGCCACACTGTCTGCATGCTTCTTCCTCAGAGCAGCCGCCGTGGCTTCGTGCTGCAGGGTGGCCTCCTCCAGGTCCCTGCGCATTTTCTGGAACTCGGCCTCCCGCTTCTTGTTCATCTCAACCTGGGCTGAAGTTGCCCCACCAGCTTCCTCCAGCCGCTCGCTGATCTCCTCCAGCTCCCGGGAGAGGTCCGAGCGCTGCTTCTCTGCTTTGGCCCGAGAGGCCCGCTCTGCCTCGATTTCCTCCTCCAGCTCCTCAGTACGGGCCTGGGAGTGACACAAGCACATTAACATACATTAATCTCAATTTCAGGGGTTTTTTTGGGGGGAGGGGGGTACAGAAAAAAGGAGGTGAGATGACTCACCTGCAACTCTTTGATCTTTTTCTGGAGTTGAATTTCTACTGCTTGCTCATCTTCAATTTTGCTTAGCAGATTGCTGATTTCAAATTCTTTCCTTAAGAAAGAAGAAGACATATTAGGACCCATATGAATTTAATGATGATATCACATAGAGGTTTTTTCTGGAGTTCCTACTTTTTAAGCTTCTCATCAAGTTGCTGTTTGTCATTTTCTGTATCCATTGTGGATTCTTGGGCCAATTTTAGATCACCCTCCAGTTTCCTCTTTGCTCTTTCTAGATCCATTCGAAGTTTCTTTTCTTGCTCCAGAGACCCTTCAAGCTAATGAGAAAGTAAAATTTGTTAAAAATTGAAAGTATATTAAAAATCTTTCAAATGTTTATTAAAAATACACTGACATCATCCACTTGCTGCTCTAGCTTGGTTTTAGCTTTGGTCAGGGTGTTGACTTTGTCCTCTTCTGCCTGCAGGTCATCCAGCGTCTGCTGGTGGGCCTCTTGGAGGGCCTTCTTCTCCTTGGTCAGCTTAGCTATGATTTCATCCAGGCCTGCCATCTCTTCTGTGAGGTTTTTCACCTAGAAGGTCAAGGGAG